CTCAACCATCAAGAATGTTAGCTAGAGATGGTAACAGGTGGAATGAAAGTATTTGCAGATTGATGAAACCTTCTCTGTCACTTCAGCATCCTTTGGTTGGGGACAAGTGTCAAAAAGTACTAGTCACATGGGGGAATTAGTTATAACAGAAGAGGATAATTTTTAAGAATCTCATGTAGTCTGCGAGCAACAAGTTTCGACATCAGTTGGAGGACAGAGAAGTGCTCATTAAAGAAGAAAAAGACAGTGGATACAGTTGAGTAGTGGTCGATACATCCAGGCAAGTAAAGATGAAGTACTCTAAGAAACTAGAAATGTTTACTTTGTATCTTAGTTATGGCCACTGGAACAGAGTAGGTGTTCCTCAACACTCATTTTACCGCATTCAGGAATCATGACTTATTACTCTCTAATCATAACTCATTGCTCCATAAGGATTCAGTCTTGGGACTTTACAGAATGCAGAGGGCAATTTTTGCCTCTTTATAGGGACTGTAAGGAAAATATTATTCCCTCTATTTTTAACCTGTTTATTTCTAACCTCCTTGATGATACGATACAATAATACAATACAATAAGAGTTTATTGTGAAAATACACTTAGCTACAATAATGGTGTGCTTTCACATACGAAACCAAAATCGGGGTCTGTGAGAGCACGCCAGCTAATTTACAGGTATTCCACAAACACAATGAAGTTAAGAGTTATTTAAAAAAACAAAAAACTAGATAAAGAATATTCTATAATTTAAAATTATAACAACAAAATCTTAATAAATATATCTTATATCTAAATAAATACTAAACTCAATGAAAAAGCGTCAAAATTATAAAAATTGCACTAGGTCAACTTGGCTTATGGATCTCTTAAAAGACTTAAAATTCGTTATATTTCTAAACATGTTCGGAATAGAATTCCAGAGTTTCGGACTAATATAACGGACTGAGTCACCATGGAGAGTGTGGGAAAGCAGGGGAAATTGGCCACGGAGATCAGTAATTAAAAAATGTCACATATGGTCCTTAATGCAGTTTCCGGGCTCTAAGCTAAAAAATTACGGGGATCTGCGCTCTCCAAATTTTTGCATTAAATTCCTAACACTGAGATTAAAAATGGTTACCATATGATTTCCTTATACAATCAATCAATTTCCTTATACAATGTCTTATAAGTCGCATTTCAGCGGCCTCGGGTGAGGTTCACTCGCGGCAATTTTCTTTGTTCTTCCTGCCCTAAATTGTTAAAGCTCTTTCAGTACTTAGTGGAGATACGTGCATAAACCGCGTGTAAAGTTCACTCGCGGCAATCTTCTTCGTTCTTCCCGCCGTAAGTTGTTAAAGCTCTTTCAGTACTCAGTGGAGGAACGTGCATAAATCGCGTGTGAAGTTCACTCGCGGCAATCTTCTTTGTTCTTCCCACCGTAAGTTGTTAAAGGTCTTTCAGTACTCAGTGGAGGTACATACATAGGCCGCATGTGAAGTTCACACGGCGCAATCTTCTTTGTTCTTGCTGCAGTAAGATGTCGGATTATGCTCAAAAAATAGAGTATTATGCTTTCGGGCGTCACCCGTGAAACCTGGGTATTATGCTCAAAATTATGCTCGGCTGGAGGTATAATGCTGAAATTATCAGGAATTAAATGACACTTCCACCCCACCCAGGGGTATCGAATGGTCTTTGTGAGCATCGGTATCTTGCCTCAGCTTTCCGTTTCGCTTGTATGACATTTTTCCATTTTGTTGTCATGTACAGGTCGTCTTGGCCCCTTACCCGCATAGTTTTGATAGGTGCGTGCTTGTCTACAATGCTTTCATTAATGTGTTCCAGAAAAACACTTGGTCATCCACTATGGTTGCCGAAATGTAGCAAAATTCGATAAAAATTATTTTCATTCGATAAAAATATATTTGCATTCGATAAAAATTATTTTCATTCGATAAAAATATTTTTTCATTCAATAAAAATATTCTTATGCGATAAAAATATATTTTCATTCGATAAAATATATTGCCATTCAATGGAATATTTTCATAGGGTAAAAACATTTTCATTGGATAAAAAATATATTTTTATCCCAGAATGTCACGTCGTACTTGTTAGGCCTGGTCGCATAGGACCGATTCGCGCCAAAAATGGTTCGCCTGCCCTAGCCCGGTCTGTTTTGCTGTCGCACTCTGTCGCAGCTTTTTCACAGCTTCACTCAGCTTCACGAAAATGGATTTGAACCGGTCAATAATTGGTTCCGAGGTGAGACAAGCGTTGGAGGAGTATATGCAGTCGAATACCAATAGATCTGCAAATGCAGGAGAAACAGGATGACTGGAAGGTAGTTGTAAATTAATTTTTTTTCAGTGTACCGCCTAGCTTGCTTATGCTTTCTTTAAATGTATGAACAGATGAGAGCAGATCTCAAATCGAATTATTTTAGCTGTAAACTTGTTATTTACAGCTTCCCCACAGAACACAAGTACAAGTACAACTAGCCAACGGCTAAACTCTGAAATTGGACAGGTTGTAAACCGTGCCAGGGATATTTTAAGAAGCAATCGATCGTCATTCACACGAAATGCCAGCACGTCGTTTCAGAATGGCGCCACTAGCGCGTATCCTAAAAGACCCCGATTGTCTGGGGCTTCACGTTATGGAAATGTTCTTCCCAAGGATGTGGTTAAAACGGTTATGCTCGTGGAAAATTCTGGTTCTTCAAACGAATATCCTTTAAAGAATGATACGATAATGTGCTATGCTGAAGTGGATTTCGTCACCACAGATGACGAACGTCTCGTGCGAAATAAAATCGTCGGAGCGTTGAAGACACAAATACCTGACATTGCACCGGATGATTTTGAATTTGTTAAAGTCCTCGGCAAAAGAGTCTCTACTCCTGTTGTAGCTGATGGCTACAACTGGGATTTTAAGCACGTTAAAAACTTATGTGGTCAAGGCAAATTGTATGTCCGTCTTAACAAACAGCAAGAACAGGAACTGGAAAACATTTCAGACACATTTGAAGCCATCCCTGTGGAAAGGCCTGGTACTATTCTTGCAGATAATAGGGGCGTGTCGTCTGTGAAAGAACCTGCCTGTCAATCTGAGACAGATGACGAGGTATTTACATGTATTTGTGTGATGTCAAAAGTTATTTTGAGCTGTTAGTATTGTCTTACTCTAAAATTCTTAGCCAGACATTCTATTACATGCTACCAAAAAACACAAACAAACAAACAAACAAACAAAACGTTATCACACTGCAATGCGGCCAAAATGAGATATTTTGTATGTTTTCATCAAACTGCCAGATCAACTGTGTCAGATAAATTTGGAAATAGGGCAACATCACGAGGACATAACCGAGGCAAATTTTACCAGTCATATATGAACTAACCCTTGTAATGAGAATATTGCTTCATTTTCTTTTTACCAATGTTTTCAGAATGGCATAAGATGTCTTCGTCAGATGTTTCCACAACACGATGAGGACTATCTAAAAGAAATATTCAGTGGTTCTTTAGACCTTCCAGATGCAATTGATGAAGTTTTGAAGAGTGAAAAGGAGCAAGGTTAAAAATGTTTACTTTATTTAAAGAAGTGTGGGTTTTGCAAAAAGAAGGTAGATGACCTTTGGAAAAATGATATGGCTATTACTGTGTTACAGTTTGATTTTTAAGAAATACAATCTCGTTCCAAGAGCCCATGTGTCTTTTGATCAGCACGAAGACAAAGAGCTCTGGAATAATCGATTTCTAGTCCAAGGTTTTAGGACTTTTTCACAGCGCATGCGTTGGCGCTGACCAAAAGACATGTGGGCTCTGTGAGTGAGATTGTAAGAAATACGCATGAACACTTAAATCAGTTGAAATGTTATCTTTCATTTTGAGAAATGAGGGTGGTTACACACTTTGACTGGGTTTGATATAGGAGTTTCCAGGGTATTACCACATACATGCCCCACAGTATCACCATAAAGCTAAGTGATGATACACAGGATGGAAGAAAGCTGAAACATTATTTGTCTTTTTTAGCAGTTTCTCTTGCAGAAGTACTACAAAGTCTTGCTGACAAGGTTATTATAGGTCCTGAAATTAAGATCACCATTGACCCAGATGACCTTATAGCTGATACTATTGCATTCTACAAAAATTCTACTGCCTTTGATGCTTCTAAGCGTGTTAGAGTGCAGTATAAGAGCCAGCCAGCTGTTGACACAGGTGGAATCCGTCATGAGTTTTTCAATGATGCCACAAAAGCAATAGCAACATTTCCAGCCTTCAAATTATTGGAAGGATCAGATCATAGGAAACTCCCTGCCTATAACAGCACATCAGTTCACTCAGGACTAATGGAGGTCCTTGGACGATTGATAGGGCATGGTATACTCCAGTCTTTCATTGGATTTCCTTGCTTTGCCCCTCTAGTGTACTGGTATATTGCGACAGGTGATGTCCATAAAGCTCTGTGCTATGTTACAGTTGATGATGTTAGGGATGAAGAGGCAAGAGAGTTCATAGAGAAGGTACTACTCCAAAAACCTGCGTGTAAGATCCTTAATTAATTGTAGGCAATGTAGGCTGAATAGGTTCTTGGTTAAATTTTAAATTTTTATGACGGAACTGAATACTGCTTCCATTACCCACAGAAAAATAAATTAACTTGGGTTCCATTTATAAGTATACAGTTAAGTCAAACTCCTTGTTACAGTATTCATCATAATTTTACTGTAACTCACATGTGAGAACTTGCTTGATCTTGCTTGGCTAAACAGGTTCTTATATTTTGGGGCATCAAAATTGGAAATTTCTTCCAGCAGGTTCTTAAACCGCTAGGTTCTTACACACAGGTCTTTAGTTTTTAAAGTAATGTCAATAGTAGGAAATACAGGGAAACATGTTAATCTACAGTATAAATTCTTTATATCCTATAGTTGTCTGGTGCAACCTCACCTGAACTCCAAGAGTTAAGGCAGGACTCAAATTTCATTTCCTTGTGTAATGAATGTGGCA